CACTTATCTGGTAGGGCAAGAGGCCTGTTCATTCTGTCCTTGAGTGAATCAGTGGAAAGGCATCACTCTCGCTTTGCTGACTTGAAAGGCATTCTTTGTTTAGTCTTATGTGGGGGGGGAAGAAGATGGACCGTTCCCCACAAATGGCATGGGTTTTGTCACTGTGGTGATGTGAAAAAAAGAGGGGAACCTGTTACTGCAACAAGCTCACCTCTTGAGCTGCAGGCAGCAAGGGGGTTGGTAAATAAAGGCTGGTGAAAGTAGCCCTGGAGCAGCAAATGGCTCCGGTTCCGGGGTAACTTTGTATTTCTGCTGCAGGTAGGAGGCTGTCTGGGGGAGCCGGGGGTGCAGCAGCCCTGCCTGCAGACCCGTGTCCTGCCTTCTCTCTTCCCTTCCTGCGGGGAGGGCAGCTCAGGTCTCTGTTCTCTGGCTGCCTGCTCATCTCTCCCCAACATAGAGCACCGTGGCCTCTGCATCTGCAGGTTGTTGGGGAGCAGGGTCAGGAGGAGGGCAGTGGACAGACAGCAAGGTCATGCAAGTCCTGTGGTGAAGCAACTAGTTCTTCTTCAGCAAGTAAATGCAGTTTGTTTGAATTTTCCGTTCTGCTTTTTGCAATGAGTAATTGCCTGGGATTTTTGCTTTCCTTCTGCGCTTGGAAAGAGGGTTGAGGAGGTGTTGGCTCTGGGATATTTGTGTTTACTGCCCAGCCCCTCCTCAGCTTGCTGCCAGTTTCCCAGACACGCTCTTAACACTTGGTGCATCCAGTGATGTAAGAAGGAAGCAGTGAGCACCCTGTTCCTGGAACAGTCTCCCATAAAGGAGCTACTGTGGGGCCAGGGAGGGATGTGTCTGCAGATGAAGTAAGAAGCAAAGCATGAGAAAACACAAGTGCCAGTCTCTGTCTTCCTTCAAAGTGGGTGTGTGTTATAGGGAGAAACTGAGACTCATAAGGGTGAGTTTATCTTCTGGTCTGGGAGGCAGCAGGCAAACTTGGATATTTATCCCATTTGTTTCAGTTTGTGGTAATGCTGGTGTATACGGAAAAATGTTATACAAGTTCTGAGAAATGCTCTAGCTGGTTTGGTAACCCTGTGTGCAGTGCTCCAGGGGCAGAATGAGAGTGTGCACGAGAATACGTTTATTTCTGATGCACATTTGACACAGGACTCTGCTGACTAGGATGCTGAGTAAAGATAGAGCCTTACTGGGGAGAGCTCTGTCTTGTCTTTTGTTTGTCTAAACAATTATAAGAGGTACAACTTTGTAGCTGTTTTCCTCCCATGTTCCTTTTCTTGTCCCTTCTCCCAGCGACTGTGTTTTCTTGACAGATGTTAAGGCTAAAGGATGTTTGATGCCTCTTGAGTACCATCACTCATCTGCACGGTTTTCTTTCTGGACACTATTAAGTTTAAAGGCCTTTGGGAAGAATCAACAGAATGGTGAAAGTACCTCAGAACGAAACCTGTTTATTATTAAGTGCTTTACTTAAGGGAGAGTTGAAGGCAGGAGGAGCCCGGGGAGCCAAAAGATGAAAAGGACTGGTAGGAGTTCAGAAGGTGGATTTTCCCCATCTCGCTTGGATGATCCTGTCAGGTGCAGATGTGCAGCCTCTCCTGGCAGTGGCTGTTGCAGAGGTGGCAGGAAGAGGTGGATAACAATTAAACTCAGCACTGGGGGAGTCAGGGCATTGGAAACATGGGGACATTTCTTGGCAGACTCATTTTGGCAAGTTGTAGCTTCTGTTGCCCCCTTCTCCATGAAATGTGGTTTGGACAGAAGAGCAGCTCTGAGTCCCAGGCCCGAAGGAGGCAGGAGCCCACACTGCAGCAGCCCATCAAAGGGAGTGCTCAGTGCTGCTTTTGGTTTTGTCCTCCTGGAATTGGGAGTTCTTAGGACCTGGTGTCCATCACCACTGCTGACACTTGCAGTGCAGTAAGAGGATGTTGGCCTGTAATCCATTTTCTGTGCTCCTCTGGGAGGACAGGAACCTTACAGAGAGATCTCAGCTAGCCAGAGCTAGTGTTTTTGACAAGTTTATGCACTTCTAAGTGCAGAATTGACTACAGCCTTTCCATTAAAAATTGTCCGATGTTTCAGTCTCAAGAGGTTCAAGCAGCACCTTTTTTTGTTGGAAGAGTAGAACCTGATTATCTGTAGTAGCAGTGTTGGTTCCCTCTATTTTATTTATCTTTTTTTTGCACCATTAGCCAAATCCTGCTCAGGAGTGAGGGTTTGTGTGTGGAGACATTTGGGAGGAGACACGTCATATTGTGCCCAGGTTTAAACCAGGACATGTGGTAACCAAGATAGGAGTGAAAATAAATCACTGTGCAGTCAATGGAGGGAGGTTGGCATCTCCAGGCTCCTCCCACTGGCGATACAGAGACATGGACAGTGTTCCTGACCCAAGTGCTGGCATGAGTTCTGCCTCGCATCAGAAGCATGGGAAGCAATCCTCAAACCCAATTAAAATTGCAGCACCTCTGATGACAGGCTTGTGATTACCTCTAATGCCAGGTCAGATATGTTAGAGAAGAAAGCAGCAGGAGGAGGAAGTGCTGCTTTTCTCTCTAAGCCAGCTGCTGTCTCTGTGTTTATTGCTGTGGGTTATTTCATTTTGGTCTGGTTGTTGGTTTTTATTTTGTTGTTGTTTTGGTTTTTTTGAGAGGCAGGCTAGGTTAATCAGAAAGTTGTTTTTATGAAGGAAAAGATAAAAATTAAGTGTGGGAAAGAGACATAGTGTTTATTAAAAATCTAGGACTTTTCTCTTTGAATTTTAGATTTCAGACAACATCTTGGTGAGGGCAGATTCCAGCTGCTGGGGCAGCTGAACACTAGGCAGATACAAGTTTCCAGTGCAGCTCTGACATAGGGGCCTGTGTCCCCTGTTGGGAGGGTCTAGAATTAGAAGGATGTTCAACTGATAGCTCTGTATTGCTTTGTAGTGCTATATATTTTACTCAATTTTTTTTTACTTAACTGCTGTGTGTTCTACTGCAATGTAAATATTTGGTGCTTCTGCTAGCTATGGATTTTTTTCCTGAGGTTTGCAGGTATTCATTGCATGTAAAAATGCAGTGAATTTGCTAGGCAAGCTTGCTGAGGTAGAGAAAGAGGTAAAAAGGGGAGATGGTGGGGAAAGGCTTAATAAACACCTACACTTCAGAGAATTGAAGCAAAATTGCCAAGTGAGTCCTGCACTTTGTAGAAATGTATTCTTAGGGAGGTCTGTTTCAAGTCTGTAAGTCTAATCTTCATAATACGGACTCTTGCTGGGGAATCAGCTGAATGCCTGGTCTTCCAAGGGAATAAACCTCCTTCAAGAGCAGCAGTGTTTGAGGGGGAGATTTCTAGAGAATAGTTTCAAATGCTTTTTGATTTGATTTAGCATTAAAAAAACCTGAGGATGTTCACAATTAGGATTAAAACTGTAAAGCAGTCATAGTTCACCTTAATATCTGCTAAACCAAGGAGCCAAAAAGGTGTGATTCATGCTCTGGTGATGAAGGGTCTCTGTACATGTAAAACACCAGACTTGGTTGCTGTTTCACAGTGAAATTGTGATGCCTCACATCCTGGATTCCAGTCAGATTTTTTTTCAATCAAATGTTGATTATTCCCACCTTGTTAATCAAGGACTCACACAAAGGAGTCACACAAAGCAAACTACATGTTGCAAGTAAAAGGATCATTTGGTTCAAAAGGCTTGATGTGAAATTAGAGGTTTCCAGCTGGGAGGTGCCTCAGGGTGTCTCTGGTACCACCTGCTGCTTAATGCAGCTTCAACACAGAATTCAGATGCTTGCTCAAGCCTGTTGGAACCTTCTTGTGGTGAGGTGGACCTCTGTGAGATGATGGTGGAGGTCTGGAGGTTGGCCTTGATGTGCAGTTTGCTCTTCATGGGGACTCCCAGTGCAGCATGAGACCACCTCCTGCTGGTTGTGACCCTGCCGGGTGTGACACTGCTGGGCCTGTCAGCAGCAGGTCCCCCTGGGGCTGGGGTAGCAGGGTAACCATGCTTGAGTGGGGAGGAGTGAGGCAGAGCCTAGCCAAGAGCACAGGCCTGGGGAGCACTGCAGCTGGGTTTGTGTGCTAAAGCAGTGGCAAACCTGGAGTTCTGAGCTTAGCCAGATACTTGGAATTAATTTCTTCAGGACATCATTTGTAATATTTCAAAAGGCATTTGAGTTCATAAAGGTCCAGTGTCATAGCAAGCACCAAAAAGTGAGGTAAAGTGAACTGTCCTTGGGAATTTTAGTTTTTAAGGGATGAACTTGCTCACAGAGATGTTTTTGCCAGTTCTATTATCTTGCCAAAACATCTGGAGATGAGCCATCCACCAAAAAAGAAACCACCTGTAGAGGCTATAAATGAATGCAAAGATCTCAGGCTAATTGTGGTTGTGATGATTTTTGCTCCAGCACAAGATCAGAAACATCCCTCTCAGATTCCTTTGGGTTATTACCAGGTGTACAATTCTGATTAAATATATGTTTGGGGGATTCTCCAAACACAACTGAATCTCGTCCATTTTTTAAGTTAGTCTTTCATAAAGCACTTGCTGAGTTTTATGAGTGTCTTATCTTGTAATGCTTAGGGGAGATCAGAACCAGCAAATAATCATCTTATAAGCCTGTATCAGAGCGACATGTAAGCTGTTCTTAAATATTTGTGTCTTTGCTTAGAGGCAGTAGGAAATGTGGTAGGAGTTTTAAAGGTTGGCTGAAGTCAGGCCCTGGGGTGTGTCCTGGCTCGGCAGAGCTCACTCAGAGCTGGGAGGCAGCAGAGTCCCCGGCAGGGCCGAGCGTTCAACATTGTACAACACAGAGGAGGCTGCATCAATGACAGCTTATGCTTTTCATTATTACTGACGAGACTGCAACGGGTGTTTCAGATCCCAAAGAAGAGAAGGAGGAGGAGGAGGTGAGCAGCAGGCCGGGCAGGAGCTGGCGCAGCAGGGCTGCCCGCCAGCGCCAGGCGCCCCGCGCCAGGAACAAGGGTGCCCTGCAGCTCGTCTGCAAGTCAGAGCCAAACGCTGACCAGCTCGAGTACGGTACGTGGGGTCCTGGTGTGAAGCGCCTGCAGGGAGTCGGGTGTTGGGAAGCTGTCCAGGGGACAGGATGTGCGTGCAGCTCAGCTGTGCGCAGACTGGCTGGGGTGCCCTCTGCCTCCAGCACTCCTGGAGCGGAGTGCTCACACGTGAGCTCCCTGCAGCAGGCACAGATTGAAACCTAATGGTGGCTTTTCCTTTCAGTGGTCACGGAAGAGCAACAGTCTCCAGCTGGAGTCAGGTAGGAAACTCATTGTTTTGTGGTATTTCTTCCTATTCAGTGTCTCAAGATAGGAAAATAAAGGCCTGAGATTTTTTCAAAGTAAATACTTCTGTGTAAGGATGTATGGGGTGGATAGTAGCTCTGTTTTCATTCAGTCCTGGACCTCTGCATTTTCAGTCTGGGTTGTAGATGGACTGCAGATGTCAGGAGATACTGTGAAGAAGTGGAGAGTAAGATGCAGCCTGGGCATTTCACCTGGTAGCTTTACTCCTTCAGGAGCAGAGGCTGTAATTGGGTGGGTTCACAAGAGGAGGCTGCTGTGCCTGGCCTGCCTGTTTCGGCTGTCATCATGCCCCTTAGTAGTAGCTGTTTCCTCAGCCATCCTGGATGAGAAAGGGTCGTGTGATAGTGTCTTTGCCCATCCTAGGGGATGAAGCATGAATGGTTTTGTGTAGTACTTCTTAAGTTGTTGCTGCTAAAGACCTCTGTTTTCCTTTTTTCCTAGCAGTGATGATGAGGAGATGCTCATCAGTGAGGAAGAAGTTCCCTTCAAAGATGATCCAAGAGATGAAACCTACAAGCCCCATCTAGAGAAGTATATTGGATGATATACTTATTGTGTCTTTAGACCCCAGAAAATTGTAGCATATTGGTTGAATGAGCTTGATACTACCCAAAGAACCCGTGCTGGTTGCCGAGGTGGAATGGCTCCCATTGGACACAGCATTTTCTAAATATTGCCTGCAGCTCTTCCCTAATGGACTAAATAGAGCCTGTAGAGCCCTGCTGGCTGCCAGGTTCTTCCTTAACCCTTGTTTGTGCTTCTACCTAGAAGTTGGACTTAATAAATAGACTGGAACTTAAATGCTGTTTTTGCTTAAGTCTTTGTAAAATGTGTACGATGGGAAGAGTATTGGAGTAAAATGTATCTGTTTCTTTGTAG